AAAAACAAATATTCTGAGTGAATTCCTAGAATCATATATGGTCATTTGAGTGAATGATTAAATCTCGTGAAGGAATGAAGTCAGAAATTGTATTCCTCCTACAATATATGAATACGTATCCATATATATTAATGTATATATTTAAATATGTGAATAAATGTTTTATGGTAAGATATATGCAATTATAAAAATTATATAGAACTAAAATTTGAATTAAATATTTGTCTTAGTCTTTTAAATACATATATTAGGTTGGGTTCACGTTCCTATTAGATTTTATGAATTTAAAAAAAAAAAGCAAACTAAACATAAGCAATCAGAACCTAAATGTTTTGAATTACTAATGAATTTTGTGGAAATTTTTAGTATTAATTTTTAGTATTAAATTTTTTGATGAAATCATCCTTACATACTAATCTATAGTAAATTATAGGAGGCCTTGCGTTATGGAGGATACTAGGATTCAAATTAGAAGGTTTTTGTGACTTATTGCAATTGATTGGTTTCAATCCCATAGACTAAATTCATATGCGAATTCCGTAGACCTATAATAATTGATATAGCCCAAATGGTTAAATGATTTAGAACTCCAATTATTGCTTAGAACATGCTAAAAGTTACACAACGGAATGAAAACTAGATAAATTTATTAATAGACAGCCTCATTTTGAACACCAAAATAACCCATAAATGAGTTTTATTATATGTTTTGGTAATATTTGTTACTCAGTATACAAAATAAATAAACAATAAAAACTTTAGAACATCCGAAAATAACGAATTACTGAAAAAATGGGTATCTAAAATCTAAAAACCAATCAGAAAATATGAAAACAACAAACTGGCAAACAAATGTGCCATTGTCTTTAACAATTTTAAAAAAATTCTCTCTAAAAGATCTTGTTTAAACATTTTTCGTGCTTAGTGTTTTCAAAAGAGGATAATAAATGTTATTAGTATTAAAATTATTTACACATATTTAACACATTGAAATATATCCAGGACATTAGAAAACGACCAATTAAGCAAAAAGACAACTATATTAAAATCTTCACCTTAACATAGAAAAATATTTTCAAATATGATAATTGTTATTTATAGTTAATGAGAATTGTATTACACACAAATTGTGGATTTATGGGTTTTTTTTTATTTAACAATATGTCTTTATTGAATCGCTTTAAATTAAAGCCTAACAATACGTTTTAGAATCTTAAGGAATAATAACATTAAATTAATAACATTACATTTTAGATAAATATACTATAAAGAAATATATAATCATTTGTAAATTATTTTAAGGAGCCTCTGAATAAGTAGCCAGGGCTTATTTACTAGATATCACGGCGTATAAGTTGAGGATTTATGGGTATTGTGAAAATATTAGTATTGTAGTCATAAGTATTCACATATGTACATATAACTGAGTTGGTGTTATATGCTAATATGGATCTAAATCTATTCAAGCATTTCATATAACTGATATTGTGTTATAACTGGTTACAAAGTATTTTGGATTTTTTTATGATTTAAATACTTATCTGTATTCTGCAGTTTGTTTCATTGGCTCATACTATTCTTAAATAATTTTTGACGATTAATTTTGGTGAATTAATTTTTAATACTTGCTGCACTTGATGAATTCTGCATATTGAAAATTCGTGATATTTGATTGCATATATGAGTGGAATAGCAAAAAAAATATTTTGAGAAATAATTTAATATTTACTTTGTTATACATAAATTATATATTAATTTTTTCCGATTAGTGGAGTAACATTAGCATGACTTTCTCAGCATTACGTTCCTAGATTAGGTTCTATATATAAGAAAGACCAAATCATGCAACAAATAATGCCTCTACGAACAGAATAGTATTAAAATTTAACAATTAAAAATAAAAAATATAATTAATTAATAAAGAGGATTTTCGAACAGTAGTGAATTACAACAACAAAAATTTTATTTTTGATATTATTTTAATTAATTTTGGCTGACCATACAGCTGTTTTGAGTATCGCCAAATACCCATCATCAGTAGTCTTGGAAATAAGTCTTGTATTTAATTATTCGTAAACAATTATTTTTGAGGCTGCAAGTACCAGGAATCGAACTCGGGTCCTGACAAATGTGAAGCTCAGAATCAACGCACCTTAACCAATTGATCCAAAGCCATACTTGACTTTTTATGTTCGCATATTTTTCTGGAGTTTTGTTACTTTTGCTATGAAAGTTTTTATTAACAATTTTACTTGCTGTTTACTTACTTATATTAGAACCAGCTGTAGAATAATTGAATTAATTAATTAATTATATTTTTATTTTTAATTGTTAAATTTCAATACTATTCTGTTCGCAGAGGCATTATGTGTTATTAATTAGTTAATTCAATTAGAGACTTGGCTCATAACGGTGGAGACTAAAAGGACACTACAAACTTTCATCAACCGCTGCTTGCGAAACTTAATGATGATATCAAATGAGGAATTCTGGAGGGACACTAACCAATGTTGAAATTCAAAAGCGAAAATATGGGTATATAGGCCATAGCCTGAGTAAGCTTTATGACGACATCCCACACGCAGCGCTAACATGGAATCCTCAGTGAACTCGGCGTAGAGGCAGACCAATGGCAGCACGGCGAAGAATAATTAGTACTGAAACTAGCAAATTGTTTAACGAACTTCGACAAATTTCGCAAACTAGAGATAGTTGGAAATCATTTGTTGTAACCTTAAGTTTAAATTGGTGTTGGACTCATAGTGGTTGTTGGTTAAAACCCAAATGTACGCGGGAAGAATGATTTGAGGTTCGCCGTGGATTGCGTTTTAAACCGGGTGCTGCAGCCCAAATTGTAGCAGAGGTAGTAAGTAGGCTTCGCATCTTACCAAGGTGGAAGTTATGACTTGCATGAATTTCTTCTTTGGAAGCGGCGGAATAAGGAGTGATATTCCAATGGGGCGTTGATTGACACTTAAATTAATAGGTGTGTTAAGAGCACCGTGATGTTGAGTCATCCTGGCAGGAAATCACGTAAAACATATAGAGACATCTATAAGGAGCTTATAGGAGTATGGAATAAAATAATAATTATAATTAAAAACATATACAACTTACAGGACATACAGAGTCAAGAGCAACTGTTTTTATATACATATTTTTATGATTTATTTTTGTTTTTGCTTAATACTGTAATTATCGATAGAGACACACTTCATACTATTCATACTACTTGTATTTTAAGATGTATTACTTGTAAATAAACTATACTCTTTTCTGACTTTTGCTATAAAAGTAGTAAAAAAATAAATAAACAATCCCAGCAGTAAAATTAAGCGGTAATTAAAATTTAAAGAAAAACCAATAACAAAAATGCAAAAACGATGCCATTGAACTGCTCTTATTGACACTTATAATTTTTTTTTTTGTTTTGTTTGCTTTTACGTATTGATTTGTTTTTGTTTTTATTGCTTTAACTGCTTTTATGTTTTTGTTTTTGTCAACGCTTTTTAAATTTGTTTTGCTCTGCTTAGGTTAATTACGTGGCCAGCACATTTTGGTCAATGACTCGCTGTCAGCTTCGTTGTTGTTGGTTTTGTCTTAATAACAGCGCTTCACTTGTCAATTAGCTGGATCCCAAATATAAACTTCAACATTATGAAGACAATTAAAAATATAAATATTTAATTTATTTGTTTTTAAACTTGGCTTATACTTTCGATATATTGGTTTATTTAAGGAACCGGAAATAATTTTTCAAAACATTCTCACACTTATCAAGGAATTACTTTTAAGAACTGAATTACTCAAATTGGCATATATACGAGTCTTCCACGAAGTAATCACAAATATAAAACATAACTTTGTTTTTATTCAATATAAATCAGTTTTCTAAAAATAAAAATAATTCATATATATAAATCATAATTATATATTGTATTTTGCAATTAGTACAAAAATTTCATTATTTATTATATACACTCAAGTAACAAATGCCACTGGTTTGGCATGCTGGACTGGGTTCTGTGGCTGCTGACTGCCTGTGTGTAGTATCTGCAGCGTGCGACTTGCTGCTGTTCTCGTTCTGACTACTGTTCGGAAGCCTTTATCACCGTCGACTTCGTAGTGCACGTTACGTATATAGCCACCGGGCTCCACTAAGCCATATTCCCCTGTAACTTGTGTACCGCGACGTTCTTCCCGATGATTGATGTGCACTTTGGATGGTGCATCATCTACGTAGTAGTGAAAAATATATTTGATCTACGAATAAAAGAAAAAACATTAGTGTTTTAGTAAAAACAGCATTCAAAGTAAATTTGAATTGTGGCATTTTACTATTTTCTTAATAACATATTTTTTTTACAAGTTAGACGGATTCGAATTGCAAAGAAAGGACAAAGACAAAAGTTTTTTATTTTTAATTTATTGAAATTTGGCTGACCATACAACGCTGTTTCGAGTATTGCCAAGTACTCTTCATCAGTGGAAATAATCGAATTTTATTTAATTAGTTTATAGTCCGTATATAATTTGTTTGGACTGCAAGTGCCAGGCTTAGAACTCGTGCCTGTCAAATTATCGGCAAGAAAAAATTAACCTTAAATATTTTTTTTACTTTTTTTTTCATTTTATTTAATAATTATTTATACATATATTTTACAAATGCTTTACAAGATAGAGTTATAAAATGTAGCCCATATTTTCATTTGATTTTCCTCGATTTACACACTATCTGAATAAAATTTCATTACATTAGAACAGTGGTCCCCAACCGGTGGATATCGCGGACCCCTTGTGGTTCGTAAAACAAATTCAACAGGTATGGCTATATAGTTTGTAATTTGTTTACTAAAACCTCACTTGTTAGAATATAATCATAAATTATGGAATATTAAATTAATTAAAAATTGATATAAAAGTCAAATACATCAGTAATTTTTAGGATATTCAGGATTTTGGATTGTATGTTTTTTATGGGTACAATTCTCTTAAACAGTCTATATCTTAATAATTATATAAATGCATCTATCCATATGTTTTTTTCCACTTTTTGATTAAGAAATCAAATATGGCATTTATGCCGAATGAGACGAAACAGCTTGCATATCTTAAGTTGAATAATTTGTTTGATATAATTATATGGTTTCTAAAATAGTTCTAATATAAGAGATCAGCCTGTCAGACTGCTCATCAGTAAGAACTCAACATTTGTCAAAGTATATAAACTCAACTGGATCGAACTAGTTTATCTACAGGGGTTTCTATCAAGGAAAGTGGCATTAGAACGGTATATAATTGCTAATTATGTGAGGCTGAAGAGTATTTGCCAATTAACCAATGTAACCATTTACTCAATCAACCAAAAGAGATTGTAAATACCGTTATGTATAATTTAAAAATTTATTTAATTTACTAATAAGGATAAGAATTTCATGTTATTTAAATCTTTTTCAAATGCATAATAATATATGTATAAAGATACAGAAAAGCTGGAACTGCACCTACCTGGGTATTCCCATCTAATAAATACTGGAATATTTTTCAATAAACTTTAATGTCACATTATTAAAAAGCTTGATAATTATATGTTTTTTTCGAAGCAGTGCATTTCTTGGATTTAATGAAAATGTGAGTGGAATTTCAAAAATGTGTCATGATTAGAAGAGAGTCATTATCAGTTGTATGTATAGCATTTGGTTAATAACTGAGTTTAAGAAAGACAGTCTTCTATCAGACATATTGTCGCTGGTATCCATTAATTTATCTGTATGGTTAATTAATCGCAGCACTTTAAGATAAACTATTGAGGAAAAATTTTTTTTGAATTTCTGGTAGAAGAGAGAACTAGAGAGAGAATTGCATGTAGGGCATTTGGTTAATTATTGAGTTTAATTATTGAGTTTACCGTCTTCTAGATGACATATTGTTACTGGTTTCTATCTATCTATTTATATGGTTAATCATACTCAACATTTTTTGAATTTCTGGTATTTCTGTCAGAAAAGACAATCATTACCAATTGTAGGGTCTTTGGTAATTTATGGAGTTTAAGAGAGACCGTCTTCAACGAGACATATTGTCACTAGTATCTATCTATCTCTTCATATGGTTAAATTTCTGGCTCTTCTTGCAGAAGAGAGAATTATTTTCAATTGAATGTGAGGTATTTGGTTAATTACTGAGTTTAAGAGAGACCGTATTTAATTAGACATATTGTCATTGGTATCTATCTACTTATTTATATGGTTAATTAATCGTACCATTTTAAAATATACTATACGGAAACCATTTTTTGAATTTCTGGCTCTTCTCGCAGAAGAGAGAACTATTTTCAATTGCATGCAAAGTATTTGATTAATTACTGAGTTTAGAAAAGACCATCTTCCACGAGACATATTGTCGCTGGTATCTATCTATCCATTCATATAGCTAATAAATCGTAGCATTGTAAGATATACTATACGGGAAACATTATTTGAATTTCTGGGATCATTATCAATTGCATGTAGGGCATTTGGTTAATTACTGAGTTTAGCAAAGACCGTCTTCTACGAGATATATTGTCACTGGTATCTATCTGATCTATTTATATAGTCAAAAAATCATAGCATTTTAAGATATACTATAGGGGAAACATTTTTTTAATTTCTGGTATTTTAAATGTCTTCCACTTTGTTTTTTGTACATTTTTCATTGTATTACTTTTTATTTCGACACATGCCATCAGTTCTTTGAGTATTCGTATATGAAAAGACACTTCGCTGAAAAATGTTAAATACATTATGTCGCCAATTCATTAAAACGATCTCATTGAAATAAATGAAGGCAATCACAATGAAATCGCAACGAAACCGCAGCACAGACTCACCAATTAAGGTTAACACAATTTCAATTGCAAAATCTGAAGTCAGTCGTGCTGTGCGTGCGACTACTCTAAAGTAGAACGATTCATTAAACTTCATACACCACCGACTCAACACCAATTTTATATGAGAAAAACTAAAAGCAAAAATCATTAAAATACCAAAAAATTAAAAGAAATAGTAAATACCCAACATTAATTAAATTAAACCTCTACTTGATGTCTTACCTCATCCTCGATGTGATTCTTTTTATAATCCGAAAAAAATTCCACAAATTGTGGTTGACAAAAAATTGGCAATAAATTCAAAAGCAACAGGAAATAAATGATGTTGCTGTTGATATGGTATGCAGCAGGCAGCATTATCTGAAAATTAATGCAAAGATTTAAAAAAATTACTTAAAATATTTAATTTTGCAATAGAAAAATTAAGTAATTTAAATAAAAAATGAGAAAATTTTCATAAAACTTCCTCGTATCGGCTACCTAAAATAATCCAACAAACAGCGCGAAAACAGAGAAGTTCCAACTCCCTTATTAGCCAGTCACGTTAGTCATTTTAATAGGGAAAGCCGAAATATGTTATTTTTTGCCTGATAATGCAACAGTCATTCAGCACAGATTGCAAGTTTGTTTCTGGAATTGCTATCATCAATACGCCACAGACTCCGCAATTTGTTGTTGTGCACTGATCTCAGTTGCACCTTTCGACTCTGACTTAATGATTTTAAGGTTCAAAGCATTTGACCCTTTTTGCTTAGTTTTATTTTCATTTGATTAAAGCGTTTTTGTATAGGAAGAGTTTTACTTTGGTCGATGTGCTTCCATGTTTTTGTGAGGAAACGTGAGTTTCGTTGCACTACACCTTAAGGAGTTGTGGTAAATAGGTTAATGCAGTGATTTGTTAACTCAAGAATTATGAAATCATTAACTTATAGAATTTGTAAAAAAATTAAGTGAACACGAAATTTAATTAGTAATAATAATGCAGCTAACTAAACTTGCTTAATATTAGACCTTTTCTTTTGTAAGCATATCACAAAAGAACCACCGCTTATTTTAAAAATAACATGTGAAACAACAACACTGCTGGCTTATTTAGTCCAACTTTTTTGAAACCGCTTAACTAATAAGCACCTCAAATCGCATGGTTGCCGAGAATAAAAATTCGTCTATTGTGAATGGTTTTTGGAAGTACGTAAAACAATTTCCAGTTAATTGTCAATATCTATTTGATCAATAATACTCAATTCTTTCTGATTAAATACTTTTTTCTGTTAACATTGAACAAGGCAGAAAACATAACTATTATTTATATCATCTTAAAACAAAATATTTTTACGCATAATATTAGGGAATTATTCTTCATTTTCGAAACTTTTACTTTAAATTTTATTATGGTTTTTGTATATATAAGCCTAACAAAAGTTTCCAGTTCTTACCATCAAAATTAGTGCTTATTTTGTATTCTTCTTTTGCGATATGTATACAAAAGAAAAGGCCTATTAATAATAGGCTGTTATTATTTTTGAAACTGTTTGGGTAGAAGTTTTGAGACAAAAGTTTTTTTTTGGGTTTTTAATCCTCTAAGAGTAACCGATGATTGCCACATCTAAATAAAAATCGAACTATACGAACTCTACCAAGGTATTGACATATTCGATCAATTAACATCAGTGGCTTTACTGGCTTGATTCTGTTGGTAGCATGGAAGACGTCGCTTTAGAAAAAAATGTGTTGTAGGCGGAAATCCAAAGAGGATATGTAAGAGAATATCTCACATTCTCAGTAGCTTTGATTTTTATTGGCTCAGAACCATTATGTGTTTTAGCTAGAGAAAATTTTTCTCTCTAATTTAGAAAGAATAGATGAATCAGAGAAAACATTATAAGCATGATCCTGTCATATTTCTTGTACGGTTTAAATAATTAATTAAATGGCGTTGATGATGTTTATAAAATTCAACTAATATTTAAGTATAAATATTAATGATGCAACAGAAAAAAATTTTGTTAAATAAGCTTAATATTGTTATTTAATCCATTTTCTTATAAAATGGATTGCGGTTACTACATAGGTTTCCTAGTTATTTCTCTTATGTGCCATTGGTATTAATTGTTATTGTTGTTAATTGTTGTTCTTCTAGGTTACTTATAATAAGCTTATAATACTATTATAAGTTGTGGGAAATACAGAAATTTATTTAAGGGGACACTTTTAAAAACTTATTTAAAATTTGTATAAAAACACCTATTTGAAGAGAAACTATTACATGTAATGGATATATGTAGAATTGATTAAAAAGTTTTAAAGGGGGCTTTCATTAAAACACTTTTTTGTACACGTCATTTGTTGGAAGTTAACAGCTGAATTTAACAGCTGATTGTAAATGTGCTTAGGCGGCAGAAACGAAATGTCATGACAAATTTTAAGCCACATGGCTTAGAACAACTTGAGAAAGAATATCTGATGCATCCGCCATACAGTCTAGATATTGTGCTGTTTCACTACCATTGCAATATTGACCTAAAATTAAATTCTAAAAAAGACTGTCAACTACATAGGGTTAATAATTCCAGCCGAAAAATAGCAGAAGGTTATTGGAAATATAATAAAAATATTTTTACAGTAAAAAGAAAATAAAATCAGTTTCAACACCGATTAGTAATTTTCCCACTCCAAATATTTGCTTAACAACTGTAAACATTATCAAAGTACATACAGCCTTATAAGGACATCTAAGGATCTAAGGTTGTGTTAGGTTAAAAAGGTTAGAAAACACTATTGCCTATTGTGATGCTCTTAAGGTAATATGGATAGTGTGAGCCCCTCTTTTTAACATAATTCCTCTGTTAATTTTGGGAATTGATTGATCAAAAAAAGTTTAACCAAACGCAATAGGTGCTAAAACACTAATGCTTATTATAACCCCTTAAATTAGCGAGGAGGAAGTGAGTCGTTGTTTTAAATACAGCTCTTTGTGTTATCTTTGTTAACTGACTGATTAAACACTTTTAATCGAGAAATGTATATCTAGTAGTTTTCTTGACTTCCATTTTTATAGCATTAATTCCTTATTAGGCCTGTTATTATTTCTTGTAGTATTATTATCGATAAAATGATATACTGGTATTTCTTAATTATTGTTAAACAACGCTATTATACTATGTTATTGCGTACACTAATTATTTCTATTATATCAAATTTCTCTTACATATTATATTTTATGTATCTTTTTATATTCTATTATTATAAAATTATATTTTACTATCATATTATTACACAGTTATTTAATCTTTAACAGATATCGCAAACAAAATATTAATTGATTGTAGGGTTTCTAGAGATCATATTCGACACAATGTTTCTAGCGCTATGAACACTAGATAGTGTTTTAACATTTCATATTAGGGAAAAGCAAAGATTTGATCAAGTGTAATTTCTAACACTTTATTAAAATTTATATTTCTTCTTTTATTATTAATTTAACACCCAATATCAATTTTGGCGCCTTTCTCTGGATAAATTCATAAAAGGTGTGATGATAGGTTGCAATTTTTGGAAAGGTTTTAATTAAGAAATGTTTTGATGAGTTTTGTAGTAGGAAGGCCTTGTAGGTTTTTATTTTAATTAAGTAAAGTTACTTAATAATGCAGTGTGCTACTAAAAATCAATTGAATTAATGTTATCTTTTAATTAAGCTTTATTTTACAACTCATATTAATCATACCCATATTAATTCATTTTGTGATTAATAATAAAGTATTATTACATCAAAGATTTTATTTCGTATAAAAATACAATTTTTATTTTTATCACTTATATATACCTATATATTGAATTAAATTTGGTATTAATGTTGTATAATATAAAATTTATTTATACATATGTAAAAACAATATATTTATTTTTATTTGAAAGTGATAATTTTCATAATGTTATTAAATGATAGTGATATTGCGTTACAAGCTGCGGAACTTTTTTTGTAATAAAATAGAGATAAAGCAATTCATTATTGTTTTCTAAATGGTAATAAAGAATGTCTTCAATAGTTCATATATATCAACGAAACCGATCCATTGTTTTCACTTTTATTCTAGTTACATACCTATAGTAGCGTTAAGAAAGTCTATTTCGGGGTTCAATACCTATTTTTTCAATTAAATGTTTTTACTATATATAAACTTTGAATTAGTTTCCGAAAGCCTTTTTCTAAATGAGTCTCTGTGTACGCCGCTGTATGTGTATCAATGTCTTCAAATACAATAACAAATCTTTACCTTTACTCCATATTGTAACACAACCAATAGGTAGATAGATGATTACAGATCCGCTCCAACCGTCAATGTAGTATGTGAGATGGTGAAAAATATTATCATTGCTTTTATATGAAGGTTTTGTTGATTGTACTATTCGCAAATCTTAAGTTTCATTCCATAGGTCTCAAATATATACATGATGTTCGTAATTCGTGTATTTATATTTTACCCGAATATTTTCTTTATCACTGAAGATTACTAACTCGAACTTATAAAATGAATGAAATGAGTTTGGAGAATTACAAAGTATTTTTGTTTGAATTAACAAGTATTTTTTTTATATAAAAATTATTACATCGAAGTCATAGAACGGTCCCAAAGCTCTCATTATTTGATGAAAATAATTACTTTAATTATAAAAAAAGTTAAATAATTTTTTCTTATAATTCATTTGTAATGGATAGTTTTATGTCTCGCACTGTATACTTAAAAGGATTTAGGTACTTTTTTACATAGTTTCTGCATTTAGTTGGATCATATACATCAGTCCATAAGTCGTGTAACTGACACACAGATGGCGCTGCCATTGTCAAATTCGTATGATGTTTATAAAGCGCTTAATATTTTTAATTACATCAGGAATTCAATTTCAATGTATATAGTATGGCACTATGTAAAATAAATTTAAACAAGAATTTTAACAATAGTAGTTCACCCACTACTGTAGGAAAGGGAAGGGATTAGTAAATAAAAGCTTGGATATGTTTAAAAATTAATTTAAATATTTTTAATTATTTAGAAATTAATTTCAGCATAAATGTTTTTAGAATTTTATTTAAAAACTTAAAAATTTATTTAAATTTAAAAGACTTCTGTGCAAACATTTTTAATGATAAAAATGAACTTGCAGTAGTGAACGGAAATGCTTTGAATTGTTTTATTACAATATTTATTTATTTTAATTTTAAAAAATATATTTAACAATAGTTATCTCCTTTTCAATATAAGAAAAAACTTCCACATATAAGACTGCATATTATATGTGTCGGAACACTCTGATAATATAGTGCGTAACAGCTACGGTACACAGGGACCGGATTTACT